TTACCGCTAAAGCCATCTATAGGAAAACGGCGGAAGCAAAGTTGTACACCTAATACTATGTCATTATTTATATTATTATTTATATACAAAAATAAATATAATAATATATTAAAATAATATTATAATATTATTATATAAAGAAAGCAAGTAACAGACTATGTTCCTTTGCTTACAGTCGAACTTTGAGCGCATAAAGCTTCGCTCGCTACGCATTTTCGCACGAATCGACGGAGTGGGGGGAGGGGGGGAGGATCTTCGCTAGCAAAGCTTCGCTGCATGAAATGGTACCTTTAGGCGATAGATACAGAATTTTAATTCATCAGAAAATCACTATTGCCTTATTCCGTGCCTTGTTCCTATGTGCGTGACATATGCATTCCTGTATGTTGAATTCCTCTATTCCTATCGCTATCACTATTGCCTTGCATTATATTTACGGCTTTATAATAATCAAATCAGAAGAAGAAGAAGAAAGAAAAAGAACTCTGACAAGTCATATCATATTAGTTGATAAATGTTTTAGTACGTGATACCTGTTGAAAATTAAGTATCTATTCCAGTTTATCTCGTTATAATTGACGATATGTTAAGAAAGCTTTCCTTTGAGCTTCTACCGATTGTTTACCGCTACAGACTCGCGAACACGGTGAAGCACAATGTCAAACGCGAATATAATGGAACGTTCTCTGCTTTACATGCCGAAGCAAACACATTACACGTGGATGAACAACTGCAGGAAATTTTTAAATTTAAGGACACCAAGATCAGCAATTGGATCATAGAGGTTACAAGTCATATTTCTCAACTGCAATAAAGCACCGCCTCCCTTTTTCTTCGCAGAAATTGTATATCTGAAAGTATATTTACAGAACAAGGCACATGCACTGTGCATCAGCTATACTGAAAGCAATAAAGATAATCGCCAGTGGATTTTACGTACGTTAGCTTCACGGTATGCTGTACAACACAACGATATATGTCAAGTGGCCAAGAGATTGGTCTGCACTGAGGTACACTGTTTTATGTGAGTTATATGCAATGCTTTAATCAAATTGTATCATATGTACATATATTCCAAATGTATCAACTTTTATTTTCATATCATCACTATTATTGGAAATATGTATGTATTAAATATGTTGCATTTATATATAAAGTATCTGTAGCCTCGTTCTATTATAGTCTGAAAATGAACGACAGATGATTGTCCATGAGAGAGCTTTGAAGAATATTCTCATACCTGCTTATCATTGGTTATTCGTTATTATAGGAAGATTACAGCATGGCGTCAAATTCTTGGTTGACCTGAGAACTGATGTTCTGGTAAGCAAAATAAAGGCATCTTTATATATGAATGCTTGTAATACAAATCTTATTAAGTGACATTTATTATAGACATCAGGGTTAAATTATTGTTATATCTATCTGATTATATTATTTCTACTTTTCTTAGCAACTAATATCAGAAGTGAAAGATCCAGATGAAAGCTTAATAGTACAGCAACTAAATCATACTTTACGAGATTTGCTTTTACTTTGGTTTTCCGTGGGTTTCTTACATATGGAACGAATAACTTGGGAAAGTGCATGCGATATATTGCAGAAAGTAATTATAGTTCTGATATATTTCATTTCTATAATTATATCTATTTTCGATTTCTACATTTCTGACTGATTTCTTATACTCATTCTTCACTCGCAAAACTAAAGGTCTCTGATTACGAAGCTATACATCCTATGAGAAATTGGTTGGACTTAAAACGCAGAGTTGGGCCATATAGAAGATGTTACATATTTACACATCCATCCATGCCAAGAGAACCTATTGTTGTGTTGCATACAGCATTATGTGATGTTATACCAGGTTATTCAAATGCAAAGAAATTTGTTTTCAAAATTTCCAAATAGAATTTGTTTCGTGTAGAAAAGAAAGAGAAGAGTAATTAAATTTTTTTAATATTCCTCTGTATTATTACAGATAGTGTAAAAGATATTAAAGAAGCTGAAACTAGAATTTTGGGAAGCGCAAAGAAATATATAACTTTTTTAGAGGAAGACAAATCAAAAATAAAAGCAGCAATATTTTATTCTATAGTATCTACTCAGAAAGGATTGCAGGTAATTGATTTATAATGAAAATGTTAATTATACTTTCCAAGTTCAGGTTAACATAAATTATACTACAACTCTGTTATAAAAAATATATATGACTATAAAAAGATTTTTACAGGGGATTGAACTCGGTAATTATTTGATAAAAGAAGTAATCAGCGAGATCACAACTGAATTTCCAGCTATACGACAATTATCTAGTTTATCACCAATACCAAATTTTAAGACTTGGTTATTTGATAAATTGAAGCAAGGTAAATGCAGACTACTGAAAAAAAAATAAATAAAAATTATATATATATATATAAATTTGTTCCATAGACATGGCGTTTATATTTACCACACAAGAATATCAAATTGCAAAAGATATTTTGCAAACAAAAAATTTGATATCAACTTTAAAAAAGATCTTAGATACATCGCTATGGACAGGCGACAAGCAACTATCAGAATTTTTAAAAGAACCATTACTTCGAGCATGTGCATGGTACTTGTATAAAGAAAAAAGACGTGGCTATGCTTTAAATACGGTCGGTATGTTCCGTATTACTTTTTTCTTTCATAATCAATTTGTGAATGTAAAGATATTTCTAAAGAGCAAGACAAGTAAGATAAATATCTGCAAGATAAATATCTTCTATACATTTTGTATATTGTTTTATGCAGCTAATTTCCATTTACGCAACGGAGCTGTGATGTGGCGAATAAATTGGATGGCTGATCCTTCACCACGCGGAGTGACAAATAGTTGCGGCATAATGGTTAACTATAGGTATACATATGAAAAAAATTGACTCAATGTGCGTGTGTGCGTGCATGTGTGTGTGTGTGTGTGTGTGTGTGTGTGTGTGTGTATTATATATATGTATATGCAAGGTATCCGGAAAATCGCCCGCAATACTTCGAGAAGTGATTCAGGAAAAAAGAAAGAAAAAACTATACAAACATAGCTCTTAATAATTAGAGAGATATAACCACTTTTATGTTAAAAAATTGTAATTTATTTTTCATAATCACAATCAATTTATTTCATATTTTAACATAAATATATTTTGAACTATCATCTTGATCAAAAAGTTCCCGGAATTACCACCAGGTGATGCTCTGAGTCAGCTGATTTTAGTTCTGTTTTTTTTTTTTTGGTTAGGTTGCCACATCTATCATTAACATTCCCATCAAATTTTATCACCATAGCTTGACATTTGTAAAAATTACGCCGTCTTGAGTACATCTACCTCTGCACATATTTTCGATTTTTTACAATTTTAAAAATGGAGTTGAATTTGCAACAACGAGTTTGTATTAAATTTTGCGTTAAAAATGGATTCAATGGAGTGAAAACCTTGGAAATGTTGGGAAACTGTTTCGGCAGTGATACTCTAAAGAAAACAGCCATTTATGAGTGGCATGAACGCTTCAAAAGTGATCGTGAGTCCGTCGAGGATGACGAACACAGTGGCAGGCCGTCGACATCGAAAACCGACGAAAACATCAATAAAATGAGAGAAATGTTGATCAATAACCGCAAATTAACTATCAGAGAGCTGGCAGAGGACTTAAATTGCTTATGGATCCATTCAGGACATTGTAGTTATTGGTTTGGGTTTGCGCCGTGTTGCTGCAAAGTTGGTCCCGAAGGAACTGAATTTCATGCAAAAAAGAGACCGCGTTGTCATCGCCAAAGATGATTTCCAAGGCTGAATCCGACCCAACAATCATCAAACACATCATTACTAGAGACGAGGGTTTATGAGTACGACACACAATTCAGACATCAGGCGAGTGAATGGAAAGCTTCAAATGAGCCAAGACCAAAAAAAGACTACGTCGTTTTCAGTTGAAAAAGAAAGCAATGCTCACGGATTTCATGAATTACAACGATATTGTACATCACGAATTTTTGCCAGAAGGTCAGACAGTCAATAAGGAGTACTTGGGCGTTATGAGATGTTTGCGTGAAGCAGTTCGCCAAAAAAGAAAGGATTTGTGGGCATACAACTCGTGGTTTTGCACCATAACGCACCGTCGCATAGTGCCATCATTATCCGTGAATTTTTAACCAAGAACGAAACGAATATCAACAGCCATCGAATTCACCTGATATGATTCCCTGCGATTTTTTTTTGTTCGATCTAGTTAAAAAACCATTACAAACACGTTTTAACAGCCGAAAGGAGGTAATGGAAAAATCGAAGACGGCTCTGATGACTGCACCGACAATAGAGTTCCAGAAATGTTTCGAGAGCTGAATCAAGCGCTGGCATAAGTGCGTTGCAGTCGATAGAGAGTACTTTGAAGGGGACAATATCTTCATCACTTTTGATGAATAAAACTTGTATTTTGAATTTTCTGAATGAATTCCGGGAACTTTTTGATCAAAATAGTATTTTGGCGTTATCCATGATGCACCACGTGGAGGCATAGTCCACTTGGCATCCCTTTAGTAAAGTAGTAAAGTAAAAAAATTTGTTAATAAAAAAAATAAAAAAAAGAGGGATACTAAGTGGACTATGCTTTCACGTGGTATATATTCTGGCCAAAATAGTCCGAAATGTAATTATTTATATTAAAACATTGTTAAATATATTATGAAATATTTTTTATGAAAAATAAATTACAATTTTTTTAACATAAAAATGGTTATAACTCGAAAACGACTTATTTCCGAACTTATATTTATATAGTTTTTTCCATCTTTTTGTATCCCGAATCATTTCCCGAAGTATTGCGGCCGATTTTCCGGACACCCTGTATATGTATATGTACAGGGTGATCTAACACCTCACTTACACGGACTGGCACATATAAATTCCTCATGAAAAAGTGAATCGACATGTCAATAGCAAAATGTGATATCAATAGTTTTTTAGACGATGAGCCCTAGATGTTCAATCACGGGATATGAAATTCGCGTCATCAAGAATGGCACAACTAAGCAATCGGTCGCGCAAACACTTTGATGGATATCGTTAAACGATACCAAATGAATATTGCAATGATTCGTAAAATCTCTATATTAACATTTATTACTTATTCTTAAACCGATTGAATCCGATTTAATTACTGAAGAGTCTACTAATGTCAATTGCAAATTAGTAAAAAGGATTTTTGAAATATGTTTTAATAAATAAATATAAATTTATAAATAAAATCAATATAATTAATTAAATTATCCAATAAATAAATATCAAAACAGATTTCAAAACTCCTTTTTCTGATACAAATGATGTTTTATCGAATTTGCAATTAACATTACTCCTCATTAATTAAATCAGACTCAATTTAAGAAGAATAGTAGTATGTAAATATGTAGTGTAATAAATAGTGTAATATATAGTGTAATAAATATTAGTGTAGAAATTTCACGACCTTTGCAATACTCATTCGATATTATACCGTTTAGCGATAACATCAACGAGATATTATTAAAGGCCATCGACCCTGGTCAAATTTTCATAACTATCAATGGAGTCCGAGGATAATTGAAGAACAATGACGTTACCGACAATTAATAAAAAATTCATAATTATTAACAAAAATATTTCGATAATATATTATTAAATTCGAGATTTTTTTATTATATAAATGCTATATAAATAAGTATGCATACTTTTAATGCTATAATATCAAATATCCGAAAAATCACAATTTTTTCTCTGCAGTTATCATCCTCTATTGATAATCAAACCCGGATGATAACATTAAAATCACAGTTTCAAATCAAAATCGAGTATTAAGTTTTAAATGTACGTACATATCTACAAAACTAATAGATCATGAAATTAGTTTCTTATTCTTAGGCCCGATTGCATCAATATTACGTTGATTTTAAGCAAGACTTAAAACTCTATCTCTGTCTTTTTGGCTTAAAAACAGATAGAGTTTTAAGTCTCGCTTAAAGTCAAAGTGACATTGGTGCAACTGGGCTTTAATCACTTAAATTTTAACAGGCACGTAAATTTTCATAAGTACCGTCTTTAATAGTATTTCGATGGCGATCCATCAAAACGTTCGCGCGGCCAGCTGCTTAGTTGCGCCGCATCTGATTGGATATCTCCTAGGACTCACCGTTTAAAAATTATTGATACACACATTTTATTATTGACATTTTCAATTCACTTTTTTATGAAGAATATGTAAGTACGTGCCGGTCCACGCACGCACGCACACACGCACACAATTATTTTTCTATATGATTGCTTTTCTGCAGATATTTCTTAGAAGATTCTGAAAAAAACAGTCGAAATTACATTGAATATTTTACCATAAATGCTACAGAAGATATAATTAATCTTGCGAAGCAAGCGGAAAAATTAAAAAATCCATCATAACTTGGATTATAATATAGTGTGGAAGAATACGAAGGCATGAGAATATAATAAATATTGCGAGAGGAAGAAAATTATTATGGTATGGTAGATACAATGACAATCGATAATGACCGATAGCGAGGCGAAGAGGTATCTAATGATTTAATGATTTAAAAAATTCCTTTTATTACTCTTCAAATTTTATGTTTTTATTAAAGATTATTAAATTTGTTCATTTATACAATAGCTGATTCGTTTCCAGCTTAAAGACAGCACAATGGTCTGCAGACAAGTCTAAAACAGATAATAAAATCTCTATTATAACTTTAAGATTATCTCTATTGTATTTTCTTGCAGAATAATCACAGAGAAACAATCAAAAAATTATATCATGGAATGATATTGAAAGCTCCGATTTCTTTTCTATTAGTTTTTTATTAATATTTAAATCAAATATATGCATATGTGTGTGCGTTATATGTGATATGTATGTAAAAGAAAAAGAAAATAAAACTGAGTACACACACCTGTAGTCAAGGCTGAGTTTGATGAAAGTTCGACGGAAGATGAGGTCTACTTTCTAGTTTTGCATAATCCAAATGGAATTCCTTAGCTACCTTTCTCCAGTTTTGCGCATCAAAATAGTAATAAGTACCACGTTCATATGTCGACGTCTTTTCTACAATTCCCAAACCTGGTGCCTGCGTTATCCAAACTTTTTCCTCCATATGATATCGCCACTCTCTGCTGTATCTTCATAGCATATATAAAAAGAATTTAAATTAAATCATACGTAAGCGTTAATATTTTCAAATATAAAAATCAATTTTGTTTTTGCTTACAATTCCGCCGCAGCAGCTAATTGCAATACATCCCCAACATTTGTATAAAACATATAAAACAGTAGATCATCTTTATATCGATTTAGTTTAACTGGCGCTAGCTTATCCCTATAAAATAAATATAAAAAATGTAATTTTGTTCAGATAAAATAATTTGTGATAAAATAATAGAATATATTTTATAAATGAAATACACAATTCTATAATAACAATTAGTCTATTTCAATTCCAAAAATAATTTTGTTTTAATATATTTTTTAAATATAATAGACATCGATAAAATAATTTCCATTTAATATCTGCTTAGTAGTAAAGTATCAAAGATTTGGAAGTAGCTCAAATATTATACAAATATGTAATTGATAAATATTTGAAGTTTTTATTACAATTTAGATAGCTTTATAAATTAAATAATCGGATGAAAAATCAATACCTGATTGCGGCATTTATAAGATATTCTGGTGGTACGTGAAAATCTATATCCTGTGGTCGACACGGAGTTTCCGCCCAGGGGCCACCAAAATTCTGATAAAGATTTTCTGGTGAATTCAAATTCAGTCCTAATGCAGTAAGATCTTGACCTAACGCTAGCGACACCAAGTTTGGATCTGTCTCTGCCGCTCTGATGAACGTCAAAAGCCCAACCATGCCGAATTGATCCTTCACCATGCTTGCAGGTATATTCGTCACCTTGCCTATGCATAATAATTATGTTGGGAATTATAATTCTGATAAAACTTAACTATCTAATTTATTTTGATTTTACCATCGGGCGATGTTTGGATGCCTCTTTTAGAAGATTGAGATTTCTCAGATCCAGGTGCTCTGTTGGCTTGTAGCACATCTTGTCCGATTTCAGGACCAAGTCCTACAGGAATATTTTTATCACCAGACATGCTACCACCAGGTGACGGACCTTCTCGATTCTGCGTTCCCGGTAATGCAGGAAAATCCTCCGAGCTCATTGTAAATTCGCTCGATTCGGATGTTGGTTGCTTTACCATTCCAACTGTAACATACACAAATGAAAATTTCATCAGCAAAATTTAATAATTTTCGTGTGGTCATCTATATTAAATATCTGAAAAAAGGCCTAAAAATTAAATACGCACGCACGCACGCTCACGCGCACACACATACACAAATTGCATTACATTATTATATTTTGCAATTTTATAATACTTTAACCGAAAGTATGATTATTTATCTTATTTTGAAGTAACCCTGATGAAAATTTTTCTCAAAATTTTTATATAATTTTTTAGAATTTCTATATAATTTTATAACTTTCTCACATTTTTTATACGAATTGGAACATTTTTCAGAAAATCTAAATCTTTTCTCAGTTTTCATGTATGTTAATTATGAAATACCATAAGATTTCTAAGATTTTTTATAAATATAATTTCTGAAATGTTATAAAATCTAAAAAATATTTCTTTTTAATTATTGATGAGAGATTTCAAAATATTTGAGAATTCACTTGTATGAAAAATTCTGAAAGAAGATGTAAACTTTCCAAATATTTTTGAGTATTACTGAAAAATATTCCAATTGGTATAAAAATTATGAGAAAAATTTTTACCAGGGAAATTATAAATAAATTCATAAAATTATGTAGAAAGTTTTCTAATTAAGAAAAAGATTCGAACCAAACTGTGGTGCATTATGATTATTTTATATTGTGTATATTATAAAAGTCTGATTTTGTTTTCTTGACACTAACCATAAGGCTGTTTTCCTGGCATAGGACTAGGTTGCGGCATAGAATCACCTTGACCTCTATTCGTTAGGGAGGGAAACTCCGAGAGATCTAACAGAGGTGGAGTACTTGTATCTCCACCACCTCCACTCCCAAAAACAGAGTGGAAATTGTTAACCGCACCTTGAGATCCGTAATTGCGACTTGGAGGTATTCCAAAACTGCCCATACTACCCATTGGATTTGAAGCTCTACAATACAGATGGAAATGATTGCGCACACACACACACACATACACACATACACACACACACACACACACACACACACACACACACACACACACACAGAGAGAGAGAGAGAGAGAGAGAGAGAGAGAGAGAGAGAGAGAGAGAGAGAGAGAGAGACTGAGAGTAGAAATATGAGAAAAGAGAAATACACTAACCCAAGAGCAGGCATCGTACGTCTATCAGTAAAAGCTCTCTGTCCAAACAGTCCTCTACTGCCCATAGGAGAGAGTTGCTGCTGTTGCTGATGATTATTCTGTCCACCGCTAGAACCAGATGCTCCAGGATAAACGACGTTAGTGGCGACTATCGCTGAATTGACTGTACTCGAAGTACTTGCGGACGAGCCTGAGAACATGCCCGAGGTAGGCGTGACATGACCCGTGAGGGCCACAGTGTTCAAACCTCCCCCAGCAGCGGTAGCACGTGAAGTAAGACTTGCGTTCGCAATACTGCGTGGCGGTTGTTCAAAGTTCAAGTTGGCCATAGCCTGGTGGCACTACTTTTTAAAAAAATGTTTCTGCCTGCAAGCAGGCACACCAAGCACTCGTATCTTGTAGATTTGATTAACACATCCACTTTTTTTTCTCTAGCACAACACTTGAAAACTTAATAATTTCATGAGATCGCCATTGATCCATGACAAAAATCCATAATCACTTGTAACCTGAAATAAGAAGAATCTCGATTAATTCCTGGTTCTAATTGGAATTCCAATGATTCAGTGACTACATATAATGCATTGTATCATTTACCTTCTCCTTTATACAGTGTTTCCGTAATAGTTACATTAAAATGCAGTACAGAGAGGATGATACATACACCTAACAACAAACAAAAAATTATTTTAATCAGATATATATCTCTCTAATGTTCAAAAAAGCCTACCAGGCTTTTATATACAAGTTCCTTATGTCTGAAGTACACAAAAAGAAATATGTCTCTATGATAAGAATTCTGATTTTGTCTATGTAATGATCGTTGAGATTCAAATACACATGTCAACCTTCATTCATTGAATGTATTCAATATCAATGTCAGGTTCACTATAAACAGATCTTCTAACTATGATCTTCATAATCACAACAAGTTTATTTTAATCCAATATTTCGATATGCAACTAGTCACATCGAATTTAGTTATGTCCAGCTTCTTATATAGTCCCTTGGAAGAAAAAAAAAAGAGAGAGAGAGAGATAATCCACAGCAAACCACACGTATTGGTAAATAAAGCTAGCTCTAACTTGCAAAAGTGTACACACAATAACGACGCTTGATACGTGATTTGTTTCATTTCTCTCGGAAACTGTATGAGAGAGACACCTAAAGTCTATCTCTCGCGAACACATCAGCGAGTCGCCGCGCGTATCAAGTAAACACAAGCATCGGTCGCGGACCGATCATCTCCGCTGACGGAGGACGGAGGACGGATTGACAGGCATAAAGAGGGAGAGGAGCGAAAGGTTATAATAGAGTTAACACACAGCGTAAGATGTGAAAATAACGAATGAAAGGGAAAAGCGTAGAATGCCGCGAAAGTACCTGGGACAAGCGCCACCGGCTGCGTATCACAACGCAACGAATTCCATTGTGTTCTTGACGATAAACAAAGTGGACGAATGTTTAAAAAAAAAAGGAAAAAAAAACGAAAAACGCTCGTTCTCTTTCTCTCTTTCGCGCGCGCGCGCGCGCGCACACACGGAGACGTCGTCGATGTGCCTCTCGTTGTCGTCGAGGTTGGTTGGCGATGTTGGTATACTCACGGCGACGAGGGAGTTTATACGCGATTCTGTACGTTCGAACCAATATCGTCTCCCTCGCACTTTCCCTCTTTCGTGCGCACGTTAAATCACAGATTCGCACGTGGACGTTAAGAGAGAGAGACGTGCACCGATCAAAATCTCATATACATGACAATGCCTTTCGGTAATAGGACCCACTCAGACCCACTGTTTTGTCACTCGCAGTTTCACGAACTTAAACAACACTAAAGACCCGAACATCTGCCATATTAATAATTGGTACGACCATGCTCAAGCGAGCGACCAGCGATGTCAACGAGCCGAAGATGCGCGCAATGCGATCTGCGCATCTATATGTGCATGCATGCATGTATATACGTATATACATACATACACAAGCGGATTAAAACGCAGCCGTACGGATAATTTCCATCTCGCTCGTGCGTTTCGAATTACGGAAATATTACGAAATATTACGTTACGTCAGTATCTTGAATACAAAACGCGACAGTTTCGAACTTGATCTCTCATACTGCATAATTTCAACATCTAGGAGAGTTTCTAAAGGATTCGCGAAATATTGTACACGAACGAGATTGGTGGATTTCTTTGAATGCAATAGAATTGCGATTTCATCATGTTGCGTAATGTCCTAAAGCCGGTTCTACATTAGTCGCAAGCTGATCGCAAAAAGCCAATATGAAGCGTTAATTTCAAAATACAAGCTTCAGATTGGCTGTCGCAAAATTGCAATCAGCTTGCGACTAATATAAAACCGGCTTAAGGTTTGTTCTAGATAAGAGAGTACTTTATAAGAGAATAAAAAGAGAAAAAATACTGGAAGAAGTGCTAAAAATGGCAATCCGTCGTTTGCAAGGCGGACTATGAAATCCATCAATCATCCATTAAGCAGCCATTTTTAAGTTCGCAGGAATAAGTTCATCATTGGCTGCTAATCACGTGATTGCAATGACTATTCAGAACACTTAACACCAGTCGCGCTTCTCTTATAAATCTAAAACTTTAGCTAAAACCTGCAGTATACACGATGCTATAATAGAAGGAATAAGAAATATAATAGAAAGAATAATAGAAAGAATAAAGAATAACGACGATACCAACTTATCAGAAACCATTTCTTATTCCGGTGTATCCGATTTCTGATAGGTTCAAATCTTTATTCTTTATTCCTAATTCCTTATTCCTTCTATTGTGGCTGCACCTTTTTCCTGCTGGATTGCTAACTGGATTAGAATCATGTATCAGTGGCCTAGTTTCCACCGAGGATTTAATTCGGATCAGAATGTAAAAACCAATCAATTACAGTCGAGCATTCTCTTCTCATTCGATTGTAACAGGGAAATACTCGATATACTGTAATTATTTGATTCTTACATTCTGATCTGGATTAAATCCTCGGTGGAAACTAGGTCACTGATTCTAAACAAGCTGCTGGCTTTAGTTTACATCGTGCATTGATCATTGATATACTAACTAGTAGTTTGTTTTCTGTTCCTGCACTAGACTGTTCTAGACTGCTCTCTCTCTCTCTCTCTCTCTCTCTCTCTCTCTCTCTCTCTCTCTCTCTCTCTCTCACTTTAAACAAATACCAAACGTATATCTATCTCACTTTAAGTTCCAAAAGTGTACACTAGTTTAGCTGCAAAAAACAGACCTTAGTAACTTTCTATTGAATGATCTATCTCGATGATACATACATGATATGCGTATTTAATTAATCATTTTAATGCATATTGTATCAATTTAGTACATCATTCTTTGAATACATTGAATTCGCTGAAATTAAAATAATTTAATAAGAACTACTAATTGGTCATCAAAAAAAAGTGCACGATGTAAATAAAGTATAATCCAATGCATCTGAGGTATCCTAGCGACATTTCTGACGCATCCATGACGTATTAACCAATAGACGCGCTTTGATTCAATTTCACCAACGAAATTGCAAATCAGCCATGTTGGACTCTTTATCGTTAGTCAATTGCATTTTGACTTTAAACATTCACCTATATTCATTGAATAATCTATGGAAAGAGCAGTAGCCAAGGATTTTTGTGATAACGTTTTATAAACATTTACACTCGGTTAAAATATACAACTTACTCCTATCTCATTTGTGATCTCGCCGAGGATTTCATGCTAGATGAAGTGTCGTTGAACGCGAATACATACGAGACGACACAACGCGTTCGGCCAAGAAATGGCATTAATTAGGAGAGCCTCTCACGCTGGTAGTTGGTACTCGGACAATGGTAAGACACCGAAAAATGTAGTTTACTTTTCACTTATTTTCACTTATCCTCGCATTCTATCTCGACAACTTTATTTCATAGAAAATCTCGACGAATTGGACTTGGGAAATATATATAAATATATA